GTTTAATTTGGACTTCTCTGTGCATGCTCTTTGAGGTGGTGACCATAGACCTCCATTATATGACTGACAGACAAGAACGTTTTGATCTGTCCTTTTTAGGGTTGCATTTTGTGACATCATGTCCTGTTTTTGCACTCTGACCGTGCAAGTGTTTGTTTGGATGCGGATCAAGACTCATCTTTTCAGTCTCGGTCCACTCGCATGGTGCGACAAGTGTTCAGATGGCAGCATTCACACTTATTTAACTGAAACGCATTAAAGGGATAGTTCACTTAGAAATTAAATTTTTGTATGTTTTAGCTTACCTCAAGGGCATCCAAGATGTAGGTGTCTTTGTTTCCACAGTATTTTCAATTTTGATATTTTATTTTAATGGAGGTCTATGGTCACCACCTCAAAGAGCATGCACAGAGAAGTCCAAATTAAACATGATTTAATGACTCGTAAATGTAAGATGGCCTAAGACACGAAACGAGCGGTTTGTGTGAGATAACGAAAACAGTATTTATATCATTTTTACCTCTTGTAAACACAGCCACAAAGCGCCCGCACCCTCAGATCACTTGGACGTGGCTGTGATTACAAGAGGTAAAAACAATATAAACACTGTTCGTTTTCTCACACAAACCGCTCGTTTCTTCTCTTAGGCCATCAATGTGTACTTACATTTACGAGTCATTAAATCATGTTTAATTTGGACTTCGCTGTGCATGCTCTTTGAGGTGGTGACCATAGACCTCCATTATATGAGTGAAAGACATGAACGGTTCGGCCTAAAAATATCAAAATTGAAACTACTGCGGAAACAAAGTACATTTTACTTAATATATAATTGTACATTAAATGTTACAAATAAAAATAAAAAAAAACTGACCATGAGATATGTGGCCAGTCTAAATGAAAGGTGATGTTTTTACAGCATACAAGTTGAAGGCTGGATTCTTTTCCTTCACTTCTATCATCTTTCTTTTGTGAAGGTAATCGAGCGGTCAGAGACACCTATCCAGGCCTCTACTCAAACTGAGTGCATTGGTTTGGCTAAGCCTGAAGCCTAATGGATCTAGTGGCCAGGGCTGGGCTTGTTCAAAATGGAGCTGGAGGTTTATTATGAGTGCGCTGCTCCTGTAGAGGTGAGGAAGAAATTGTCATGACATAGAACGAGTTACTATTCCAAAGTGGAAAGCAACTATCTTACTTTCTGTAATGGTAAGGTCTGCAACTCACAAGTAAAAACATGTAATTTGGCAACAATACATGGGTATATTTTTGTAAATAACCTATCCCCTTGCTCAGATTGCTAAATGCTATAGGCTCATAGAAAACTGACGCTATGCTCGCCTTTACTCAGTTTGATAGTGACATCTGGTGGTACATTCTGTTCGTTACAGTCTTTGGACTCTAAGCAGATCACATCTTAAAAACGTTCACTCTTTCAGAAGAGGAAACATGTGGTCCAGCATCCGCTATAATGCATCAGGGGATTAATAAAGATAAATCTCCAACAAACGAACCAACCAAAATAAATAAATAAATAGGATGGATGGATCCCAGATAGCTCAAGTCTATTTGATGTGATGTTTACATCTGGAAGACGTATTTTTAAGAGTGTTTGCTCATCTGTAATACGTCTATTGGACGTTTCCTGTGAGATGTCAAATAGACGTTTAGAAGATGTCTTTAAGATGTAATGATTTAGAATGCATGTTAAACTGACATCTTCTAAACTAAACGTCTATTTGATATCTGACAGGAAACGTCCTATAGACGTACTGCAGATGAGCAAACACTCTTAAAAATATGTAAACAATAAACATCACATCAAATAGACTTGTGCTATCTGGGATGCCTGATAGATAGATGGATCTCACACCCTCTATGAATATTATAATGAATGAATAAATAAGATGGATGGATGGATGGTAGATAGGCGTGATAGACCCCACAAACCCAAAAGATAACACACGTACGTCTGCAAGATGTCTGTTAAAGATCACTTCATCTGGAAAGCATCTGCTGTTAAACTGTGATAGACATCTTTAAGATGTCAGTTTAACATAGATACTAAATCATTAACATTACATATTAAAGACATCTTCTAAACGTCTATTTCACATCGGACAGGAAACGTCCTAGACGTATTGTAGATGAGCAAACACTCTGAAAATACGTCTTCCAGATGTAAACACACTAGAAGTCTCTGTGATGTAGGCCTACGTGTGCTATGCAATAGGACAGCACACTATTATTCTGCATAATTGTATCTGTAGACCTATATAATTTTTGTTTGCAAATTTTGTATGCAAATTTAGCTTATATCGTGTGCTCGTTGTCTTGTCCTATTGTATTATGATTTTCCTGATAGCACACGTACATCAAGAGACGTTTATTTGATGTGTGTTTACATCTGGAAGATGTATTTTTAGAGGGTTTGCTCATCTGCAATACGTCTATAGGACTATGGCAAGCCGTTTTAGCTTTTATTCATTTCTAGGATATGAATTCTTGATATCAAGAATTCAATTGTTGATATCAACAATTACATTTTTTATATCAAGAATTTAATTGTTGATATCAACAATTAAATTATTGATATCAACAATTACGTTCTTGATATCAACAATTACATTCTTGATATCAACAATTACATTCTTGATATCAACAAATACATTTCTGATATCAAGAATTCAATTGTTGATATCAACAATTACATTTTTGATATCAACAATTACATTTTTGATATCAACAATTGTATTTTCACTAGTGAAATGTCCCCATAGGCTGCCATTCAAAACCAATTGTTGATATCAAGAATTGATTTCTTACTAGTTGAAATTCCAATTTCACATATCAGAAATACAATTATTACTAGTAAAAAACTTTATTTTTGATATCAAGAATTAAATTGTTACTAGTTGAAATGTTATTCCTGATATCAACAATTGAATTGCTACTAGTAACAATGTTCATTTTTGATATCAATAATTCAATTTTCACTAGTGATAGTGTTAATTTCTGATATCATGAATGTGATTGTTACTAGTAAGAAAGCCATTTTAGATATCTGAAATAATATTGATATCAGAAATATATTTTCAGATATCAAAAATGGTAATTTTTACTAGTAACAATTGAATTGTTGATATCAAGAATAAACATTTCAACTAGTGACAATTTAATTATTGATATCAGGAATTCACATTTTTACTAGTAACAATGTAATTATTGATATAAAAAATGATATTTCTACTAGTAAAAAATCAATTCTTGATATCAACAATTCATTTTGAATGGCAGCCTATGCCGTTTTAGCTTTTATTCATTTCCAGGATATGAATTCTTGATATCAAAAATGCCAATTTTTGATATCAAGAATTTAATTGTTGATATCAAAAATTGAATTCTTGATATGAACAATTGAATTCTTGATATCAACAATTCAAATCTTGATATCAACAATTGAATTGTTGATATCAACAATTGAATTGCTGATATCTGTAATTGTATTTTCACTAGTGAAATGTCACCATAGGCTGCCATTCAAAATGAATTGTTGATATCAAGAATTCTTTTTTGACTATTAGAAATATCATTTTTGATATCAATAATTACATTGTTACTAGTAAAAATGTGAATTCCTGATATCAATAGTTAAATTGTCACTAGTTGAAATGTCTATTCTTGATATCAACAATTCAATTGTTACTAGTAAAATTGTTACTTTTTGATATCTGAAAATGTATTTCTGATATCAATATTATTTCAGATATCTAAAATGGCTTTCTTACTAGTAACAATCACATTCATGATATCAGAAATTAACACTATCACTAGTGAAAATTGAATTATTGATATCAAAAATGAAAATTTTTACTAGTAGCAATTCAATTGTTGATATCAAGAATAACATTTCAACTAGTAACAATTGAATTATTGATATCATAAATAAAGGTTGTTACTAGTAATAATTGTATTTCTGATATGTGAAATTGGAATTTCAACTAGTAAGAAATCAATTCTTGATATCAACAATTGGTTTTGAATGGCAGCCTATGGGGACATTTCACTAGTGAAAATACAATTTTTGATATCAAGAATTCAATTGTTGATATCAAGAATTACATTTTTGATATCAAAAATGTAATTCTTGATATCAACAATTGAATTCTTGATATCAAAAATGTAATTGTTGATATCACGAATTGAATTGTTGATATCAATAATTTAATTGTTGATATCAAAAATGTAATTCGTGATATCAAAAAATGTATTTGTTGACATCAAGAATGTAATTGTTGATATCAAGAATTCATATCCTGGAAATGAATAAAAGCTAAAACGGCTTGCCAGCCTATGGTGACATTTCACTAGTGAAAATACAATTACAGATATCAGCAATTAAATTATTGATATCAACAATTCAATTCTTGATATCAACAATGCCATTTTTTGATATCAAGAATTTAATTGTTGATATCAATAATTTAATTGTTGATATCAACAATTAAATTCTTGACATCAAAAAATTGCATTGTTGATATCAAGAATTCATATCCTGCGGATGATTAAAAGTTAAAACGGCTTGCCATAATAGGACGTTTTCTGTCCGATGTCAAATAGACGTTTAGAAGATATCTTTAAGATGTAATGATTTAATGTATGTTAAACTGACATCTTAGATCAGATAGTAGCCTACAGCAAATGCTTTCTAGATGAAGTGATGCAGATGTATGTGTGCTATGTTATCTTTGTAATTTTATTATTATTATTATTTTCTATGTAGGCCCATGGAAGCTCCACCAAGACATTGAATATCATTCTGATTCTAATAAAACTACCTGTTTATTTTCTGTAAATATGTCATTATGTACTTTTTTCTAAACCGAGAAAATAAAAACTTACACAATTGAGTGATTAGACAGAATTGCACCATCTTGATTGATGTGTACAGTGTAACACAATTATAACGGGAAGATGAATGCTTGTGGTTTAATCTTGGCACAAGCTCACATTATAGGCTATTATGACCATCTCCATTTCCGCGTTGTTTCCACGGCTTTAACGCGTTCCTATGGATTGGTGGAGCTCTTCTTAACCACTTTCTAAAACTTTCATATCATGTTATATCATTCTAATGGTATACACGAAGAGGACATATAACCACAAGCGTCGATAACGCGACTAGATTATGTTGTGTTTTGTTGGAATCTGCGAATTTAGCGGATTCAGACATTGTTAGGCTGCTCTGGCTAGTTAGCAAAGCTATTAACCTAGTTGAGCCGGTCGGTGTTTGCGCCGAATAAAACCATGGCAGATGACAACAATGGGGAGAGGACAGACGAAAACGAGCCGAAGGGGGCAACGGGTGGTGAAGGTAAGACGACGAGGTACAACTTTTAAACGAATTAGAGTGAGTTTTGAGAACTAGCCAAGCATATTTAGCTCTTTGAACTAGGCGTGACGTCACACTTTTCTTCGACGGTGACTTGACCAGAACTGAAGAAGGCTCTGAATCTTAATAAGGTTAAATACTAGGCTGATAGGCTATATTCCGTTGATGATTATGGTGATTTTCAGTTTAATGAGTTTATTGTATTTCGTGTTTAGCCTTCTGACGTTTCGTTTCAATTATTATGGAACTTCCTATTTAGATTTATGTTTTTATTACCATTATGAGCAATAACCACAATGAGCAAGAAACAGACAATTATCGCTTGCATATTAAAATATAATTCATTATGGAACTTCCTCTGATGTCATAGCTACCTAAATAGTGTCTGACGTATAGCCTATGTCGTGGCTTGTTGGGGGTTTTCTATCCTGTCAAAATAGAGTATTCGCTTTTCAGCCTCCCTTTTTTTTTTTTTTTTACACCATCACGCAATTCACGTTTTTACCAGGCTTACAGTGAATATAAATCTGATTATCCTCTGCAGAAGTGATAATTAAGCCTGCCTGAGTGATGTTAAGAGCAATCCAAGAGGAAATAGGGCCTAGATAAATGCTAAAAAGTAAGGGGCCTAAAATTGAACCCTGATGGATACCAGTAGGATCAGAGACCTGAAACCACAAACTGGTAGCGATTTAGAGAGATACAATCTAAACCAAGTGAAAACAGTCTCGGAGACAAAGACGTTTGAGTAAGAGGTTGTGATTTATAGTTCTTTGATTATTAGTATTATTATATTTTGGTTCTCAAACAGGGGGTCTTAGCAAACATTCAAGATGACTAGATGATCTACACAAATGCAAGACAAAACAAGCATTAAAATAAGCAAAAATATATATTTTAATTAGGGCTGTCACTGTGCAAAGATTAAGCTAATTACGATTAATCGCACCCAAAATAAAAGTTTGTGTTTATTACATAATATAGGGCAAGTCTATTTGATGTTTACATCTGGAAGACGTATGGAGTGTTTGCTCATCTGCAATATGTCTATAGGACGTTTCCTGTCAGATGTCAAATAGACGTTTAGAAGATGTCAGTTTAACATGCATTCTAAATCATTACATCTTAAAAACATCGTCACATTAGATATGAATAGGTAACATAAATGACGTAAATGAAAGCCTAGGCTATATTTTCAATAAAAAAAAATGGGTGTTTTCTGACAATTGTTTAACATTTCTATTGTAAAACAGTTGTCAAATAAATATTACGTTTACTTTCGCACTTTTAAAACTGAAGCGCACCTTCTTTGATTTTATTGTCTCAAGCACAATTACAACCCTAAACAGTTTTTTTTTTTAAGAGGATATGTATGTATGTGACATGTATAACAATGTAATAGCAGGGGACTTTTCCCGCTCACTTTTGTCCAGATTGCTTTCGTAGTGCAAACGCTCATGTGATCAAATGTGTTCAAACAGCCACAAAAGACCATCTTCTCTCAGTGTACTGATCTAATGTGTGAAGTTGTGAACATTATGGGAAGTGCGCTAGCCAGACAGGACTTAAACTTTGTCGACTGAAGACCCAAGTTTGGTTTAAAGATGTAAAACGTACCAAACATAATGTTCTCTCACCATTCCTAACACACACTCACAGCGTTCGGCTGGTCTTGAGGCGGTCAGAGCAGAAACTAAAGCTGATTCTCTTAATGTTTTTCCGCCGTCTCCGGTCACGTTCATGTAAATTGCACAAGTTTATTTCGTCCATTAGATCGAAAGATCTGATAAAGCCCATACATTTACCCACACATAGACCCTCCCCATGAAGAAATCAGGACAGAAGTGTTGGAAAGTGGACAGAAGAGACGGATTAAAACACCAGGTGTAAATGGGAATGTGTTTCCCTCGTCTAATTGTGATCTGATCGACCAAAACACATCTTAATACCAGATGTAAACAGGGCCAAAGAAACTCTAGAAATACTGTTGAGGCATCATAAGCATTTTACCCAAAAATTCATGAAAAGAAGGCATTCGTTCACTCGGTCCAACCAATCAGATTCACATCTCGTACTTAAATGCTATCGATTATTTCAGAATTAAAGGTGAATGATGAATGAAATGCTGTAGTCTCAGAATTAAAGGTGAAGGATGCAACATAACTCCAGCAGGGGTCACTCATACTTCATTATATGAGTAATAAACAGTTACTTTTTTGCTGAAATACACACAATACCGATGTAATGATGTCACAGGTGTATGATTGATCAGAATCAAGGACCGGACTATCGGCTTTATTGGTCTTTAGACATTAAATTATAAAGAAATTCTGAAAACATAGATAAATCGATATAAATAAAATCAATAAATAATACATAATACTACAGTGCTATAGCACATTTTAGGAAGATTGATCATATTTTGAGATCTGTGGGATCTAAGATTGAAAACCCCTACGTACTTTAAAGAAGTCCTTAGTAAACAAAACATCCATTACAACAAATTCACATTCAGACACTTTAATAACATTCAGAAACTAATGACATCAAGCATAAGGGTCGTTATACCTATAGTATAAAACAGGGCTATTCTCTCTATTAAAATGTATGTTTTAAAGCTATTTGAGATGAGATTTGACCACCAATCTTTTAAACATGTTGACAGGAAGTGAGAATAAACATTAGGCAATTTGGCTAGACTACACCGCAAACCTTCTCATAAACCTGTGGCACGACCAGCCAGTATCAAAAAAGGAAGTTGGGAGGTCAGGGTTCACCACATTTATGATTCCATCTCACCCCATTATCACACAAAGATTGCTTCCTGTACTTTAACCTTGTTTCCTTTTAACACACTCCAGTTTTATGAAGATTATTGTTCACATGAACTCGATTTAATGTTGTTTATTTGCAGATGTCGTGGATGATGTAATCATGGAGCAGGGTGCTGTTCTGCTAAGAGGGTAAACTCATGAAAATTACATATCAATACAGTCGCCACTAAAAAGTATTCAGAAACCAGATATATTTTTTTACTAGTGGGTGCAGGACACTATAGTTCATTTATGTAAGTGAGGAGAGCAAAAATAAACTGTGACATTATACCCCCCAAAAAATCTTCATACAGTGACTACCAGTAAAATGTATTAAAAATATATGGTATTCACTTTGACCTAAACAAGTTTTGCTGAAGTGTTTTTGCTAGGGCTGTCAAACGATTCATCACGATTAATCGCATCCAAAATAAAAAGTTTGTGTTTACATAATATATGTGTGTGCGCTGTGTATAATTATTTTATTTATATAAATACAAATACATGCTTGTATATATTTAAGAAATATTTTCACGTATATACAGATTTATATATAATTTATATTATATATAAATATTTTTATAAATAAATAATATTTTTTTCTTAAACATACATGCATGTGTGTGTTTAATTATACACAGTGCACCCACATATATTATGTAAACACAAACATTTATTTTGGAAACTACTATTATTTTGGAAAAAATATTTTATATATAAATAATTTGTATATAAAAATAATATGTAAACACAAACTTTTATTTTGGGGGCGATTAATCACGATTAATCGTTTGAAAGCCCTAATAATTGGTTGAGCTAAATTGTTATTATCTAATCGAACATAATTCATTTATGAGAGTAACAGAAAGATGGACATATATCAACTGATTTCATAACTGAGTTCTTGTCATATTTTATAACCATTTTCTAAACTATAGCGAATAAACTGATAATGTGAGAGGTGTCTGAATACATTTTGCTTTGACTGTATATTATATGGTGATGCATTTGTGTGATGAATGCATCTCTCTCTTTGGTTTGTAACTTGCAGGTATATTGTTGAGCGAGTTACTGTAGATGATCCATCCATGCATGTGAGCCCTGTGGATCTAGGAGGAAGACCCCAGGAGACAGAGGATCCTCATATTAAAGAGGTTGTAGGTCAACTTTTGAAGATAGCCGATGACCTTAACCGGAATGCTGTGCTTCAACAGTATGTTTTTCATTTTATTTCAGCTTATGTGTCTTTTTGTGAATATATGAGGTTTTTGATGGGATTTGGTTGTATTAGCCAGTAACCACTGTTATAGCTTATAGGACAGGCTTTTGAATATTTTGATGGATGGCCTTCAAAAATTTTGAGAACCACTGCATTAGACGGTTAAATTGGGTTTTCTGTCTAATGCAGTGGTTCTCAAAATTTTTGAAGGCCATCCATCAAAATATTCAAAAGCCTCTCCTATAAGCTGTAACAGTGGTTACTGGCTAATACAACCAAATGATGTTTATTGTCGTATTAAACATTGCAACAGACATTTATAATGCAGTTTATCTTTTGGCATGTTCTGCTGTAATTATGACAAAGCCATTTGCCCTGCTTTCTTTTATGGGCCACAAAAGAAGATTTTTTTTTTTTAAATTCGATTTAAAATTCGATTTTTTCATTTGATTCCTCCATTTATGGTATTTTATTCAAAAAAAGTTTGGTAGTAGAGTGTGTGAACCCCATAACATACACTACACTTCTTTTCCCCTCACAGTCTCATCAGCACGGTTCAAGCAAACTGCGCTCAAGACGTCTTCATGACGGTGGCCAGGAGCATCTTTGATGACGGCATCAACTGGGGACGCGTGGTGGCTCTGTTTCACCTCGCGTATAGGCTCATTTACACGGTACAAACTCTCATTTGGCCTTTTATTTCAAAACGGCATTGTGGTGTTCATGATTTATTTTGTTTCCTTTTAAATATATATATATATATTTTTACGTTTTATTTAGCTTTTTTCAAATACAATAACTGACATAAGACACAACATAAAGAAGACAGCAGCAACAACTACAGAACGACAACAACAACAAAAGAAAGAAGAAATAATATTAAAAATAATAATAATAAAAAAAATTATAATACTAAACGAAAAAGGGAGATACAATGTTAGACAGTTAGGAAATTATCTTTATCTAATCAGGTCATGTGGTACTATATTTATATAATTCAAAAAGGGTTTCCAGATTTTATGAAATAAGGTTACCTTTTAAATATTTTAATTGAAAATGTGAAACAATTAACTGACCATTTGTTCTTCAATCAATGTTTCAATGGCATTGGAAAGCATCAGTGTGTTAATGGCATAACGATTTATTAAAGGGATAATTCACCCAAAAATGAAACTTGGCATCGTTTACTCACCATCAGTGGTGGAGGAAGTACTGAATCTCAGTACTTAAGGAAAAGTACAAATAACCAGATAAATATTTACTTTAGTAAAAGTAGAAGTAACACAATGACAACCATACTTAAGTAAAAAGTAAAAAGTACCTGATTTTAAATGTACTTTAAGTATTAAAAGTAAAAGTACTTGCATAACAATTGATTCTCTTAATGACTATTTTCTAATGATTAATAAAACATTTAATTCTAACTCATTCAACCTAATACTCCTATAATGATGTTCAATAATGATGGACAAAAAATGTTGTCACCATTTCTGAAACAAGCTTGCAATTAGGCAATATAAACCATGCTTATCCTTACTGTATATGTTAATAACCATGTTTGGCAGTAAACACGATTAATTTATGGCGTAATTCTGAACCTCTCGGCTTACCTTAATCCTAACCAAACGATATTACACACGGTGCGTTTCCTATGCACGTAAAAACTAATTTTCGCGTATAAATTGCACGATAAACACACTGCGTGCGAGACGCATTTAGTTGATGTATCTATGGCAACCAAACGTCACTGGTGAGACAAACGTGCAACGAACGGACGGTCAGATTACGTTTTGGCAGGGGAAAAACTGATGAAAATGTAACAGAAGTTGTAGAAATGTAGTGGAGTAGAAAGTAAAATAATTGCGCAAAATGTAACGAAGTAAAAGTAAAAAGTATGCACTATTTATTCTACTTAAGTAAAGTAAAGATACGTGAAAAATATACTTAAGTAAAGTAACGAAGTAAGTGTTACATTCTACCACTGCTCACCATCATGTCGTTCCAAACCCGTAAGCCTTTGCCAATCTTCAAAACACAAATGAGAGACTTCTGTCCCTCCATTTAAAGTCTATTCTTCCAAAACTCTGACGGTTCAAAGCTTTCATGAAGAGATCGTAAAATAAATGTATATGTGAAGAGTTCAGATGCAAAAGCCTCTAAATGCCATTTGAAATTTTCTTCTAAAATGACCATTTTTATCAAGCTTGTATATTTAAGTTCAGTAATTTCACTTAAATAACAATTAATAGGTAATCTTCATTGCCATTTAAGTGAAATTACTGAACTTAAATATACAAGCTTGATAAAAATGATCATTTTAGAAGAAAATTTCAAATGGCACTTAGAGGCTTTTGCATCTGAACTCTTCATGTATAATCCAAGTCTTTTAAAGAGACATGATTGCTTAATATGAAACGATTTATTCATGGATAAACACTGACCAGTGAATGTGCTTAGAGCACTCAAATCTGGTAAACGGAAGTACAACCGTACTTGTTTGATGTGTCAGAACCAATCAGGTTCATTCTCATGTTACGCATCACGTTTGAGCTTCAGCAAGAACCAATGAGGTTCATTTTCACGCATCAAGCAAGCGTGCTTGAGCTTCCGTGAACCATATTTTAGGGCTCTATGTATGTTCGCTGATCAGTGTATGATAATAAAAGCCTTAATTAAATCCATTCAAGGCTTGGATTAAACCACTTGATTAATATGAATATATTTTTGGGTGAATAGACTTTTAAAAATATCTTTATTTCTGATTCAAAGATGAACAAACGTCTTATGGGTTTGGAACAACACGAGAGTGAATGATTGATGACAGAGTTAACTATCCTTTTAAGGATGGAGCTACTTTTTTCCGATAATCCAGATGTCTAAAAACCTGATTACCTTTCATTCCTCTAGGCCCTGACTCAGAACCACTTCGAAATCATCAGGGGGATCATTAGCTGGTTTTTACAGTTTATGAAGGAAAACATTTCTGCCTGGATCAGACAGCAAGGAGGATGGGTAAGTTGCTGTTTTTGTACAGTATGTGTTGTCTGGCCACCCATGTGGAGCCACACAGGTCGAGCCAGACATGGGCCACCACACACACACACACACACACCCACTCGAGCCAGGAAGTACATGAGACACATCCCGTCTAGGAATACCCAGACACACAAACCCACTGACCTAGAATGGCACACAGCTAGACACCTCTTTATCTTAAAAAAATATATTTTTTGCACTTCATCTCTCACACATCAGTAAGATGGGTTCGCATGTGCTCTGCAGAGCCTCCACTGGGCTGGCTGCATTTCCCGGGGCCACTCGAGTTTAATAGCACACATATGATCATAAAGGGGTGCTGGGTTTAGACTTCAAACACTCGGGAGTCAGGGAGCGCACTGTGGCCCTGAGAAACTGCCGTATACTAAACATGTGACTATTTACAGTGCACTAAGCAGCATGAGCCTGAAGAATGCAAACCCAGTGAGGGAGGAGACGTGACGCTTGTGTGCTTGACCTTCATTTTTGGGGATTTGAGGAGGATCAGGCACCTGCTGTTTAGTATTTTAGAGATTGAACTGCTGGGAAATGTGATACCAATATTACAATTCAATCAGTGTAGTAACATATTAATTAGGTGTTCAAGCACGAAGTGATGAAAACCTATTGTATTTGATAGAAAGAAAAAAAACGCAAAAAGCCCAAACCGCAGGGGCTGGGAGCTCTGAAACTTTGTCAAATGGTAGGGCCTCAAATTGAGGAGAACCTATCAGAGTATGAGCCCGATTGGCCCATAGGTGGCGCTACAGCAACCAAAAGTACTAAATTGCTCATAACTCCTAGACCGTTTGACTTAGCTTCAGTGTTTTTACACCACTGTTATCCCTGGCTAAAGACGGACAAGATGTATATCTCGGATTTCCATTTGGAGCAAAAAACAATTGTTATTTCGGTTTTTGTTCAAAACCCACTTTTGCGAACTAGTCCCTGGTTTTTTGCCCAGTCGGGACCAAACCAGTCTAGGCCTATTCTCTGGACTCTCTAGAAAAATAATTTTGAAAAAAAGTTGAAATTTTGCATTTGGTTGGCTGTAACAGGGTCATTTAGATAGTGGTCTGTGGCAAAATTCAGTCAAAAGCCAGTAAACCCCCCCCCACAAAGTCACAACTTCACAAAAATCGATGAGCATATGTGTCCTAACATGGTTAGGAAGCATGCAAAGTTTCGTGAGGATCGGATCATAGGTGGCGCTATAATCGTCAAAAAGGCCTCTCAAAAAGGTCCAAACCGTAAGGCCTAGAGGCCCTCAAATTGAGGAGAACCTATCAGAGTATCAGCCCGATTGGAACCAAACCAGTCTAGGCCTATTCTTTGGACTCTCTAGATCAGTAATTATTGAAAAAAAAGTCGAAATTTTGCTTTTGATTGGCTATAACAGGGTCGTTTACAAAAGGGGTGGGACAAAATGCACCCAAAATCATATAAATCCTAAAGGAAAACTCAGAATTTCACAAAAATTGATGAGCATATGTCATATGTCACAGTCTCATGGAGATCGGACCATAGGTGCCACTAGAACTGTTAAAAAGCTTTAAAACCATGTATTTCCAATGTTAAATTGCCAGTATTGATTGTAAATGGTGTTTTACATCTATAATGTCGGTGGATAAATGCATGTTAAATAAAATTGAATGCCTTTTGATGATTTTGTGCTTAAAGGCCTGAACTGCTTGATGCTGCTTGCAGCTTTAATTATTACTGACATTATTATACTTTGACTATAGTCAGTGGAGGGGTTTTTCGTTCCTTGACACTATGGGTAGCACATTAGGGAACTAAAAATATAATATACTATGTGCAACATGTTATTTTTAAGTATAATCTTATAGCCCTTAGCCTGAAATTTTAACCCTGTCATTTATATGCATCTTTTATGCACAATACCAAATATTAATTCCGCCTGTTTCACACATACTCTGTATGCGGTGTGTATTTATTCCCACACCCATGTTAACTGGTTCTAGCTTGGTTCTAGCGTTCCATCGTATATATTAAAGGTGCCTTGTGTCAAAAAAAAAAATCAAATCATACTCCATATTCCCTACCAGATGGGGGCAGTGCCTTCTCACATCTTCAAAAAACACGAGCGAGTGCTGTCTTGCTCTCTCTCCCCCGCGCATATTAATCACATCAATTTACACGATAGTTAAAGGTAGGAAGACCGCAGTTTCACGTGGAGCTTTTGGAGATTTTTAGAGATTAGAGACTCAATGAACAACATCTGAACACTAAATTATAAAGGCCGTCTCATAGACGCCTGTCTCAAATACAAGCCGGCGCATTTCGACGATATGGGAAAATAAAAGCCCGGGCTGTTATTTGAGGTTTTACGGTTTTCGTTTTGTTCATATTACATTTTTATTGTTAGTTTGAATTAATTTGACAGATGTTGACCAAGCTAGCGCCATTCAGATCTACCAACTCTCACGAATTCACCGCGAGACACGCAATTGACACTTTTCACACGCTCTCACGCCACACATCAATTTTGTCACGCACAGAAAAGGACACGGACACCGACAGACTAGATGGAGCAGGTTAGTTATGATATATAAAAAAATCTCAGCTCTCAGATTCCTACGCTATCTCACGACCAATTCGTACGAATTCGTACGAGTGATTCAAAAGTGGCTAATTCGTACTAATTCATACGACCTCACTCGTACAAATTTGTACGATTTGTCTAAACCCACGTGACGGTTATGTTTAGGGGCGGGGTCAGGGGTAGGTCATTTGTACGAATTCATACGAATTGGCTAATTCATAAAATATGTACGATTTAGCAAAATCGTACTAATTCGTACGAGTGAATTTTACGAGGTGGCTAATTCGTAACAATTCGTACGAATTCCCGTGAGATCGAGTTGCAGATTCTGTCAATTTTCTTACGCAATTCAAACAATAAATACCGTTTTGGCACTTGTAAATGTTACACGACAGATCCCTAGCGCACGTGAACCGATCATCTCTACTAGCTAATGGTAAAAGAGCACGAACACAGTTGAAAGGTACAGTATGCTACAACTAACTTACCAAAATGCATTCCTCATACATAATATCGACCAATCATGTTTTTGAACTCTTCCCTGAACTGAAATGTAGTAGTGGGCTGTACTTTCCACACGGTTGACATCAGGTTCAAGTACGCTCACAAGCCGTGCGAGTTACTAGTGGTCCGCATACCGCCTCCCATGGTCGAAACTGGTATTACGACACCTGCCGGACCGGGGCTAGTAATTTAGCATGCCAATTCAGGTTGATATCTCTGCAGCACTATAACTGGTAATTTTTTAATGACATCAACCACCTTATTTCTTCTCATCCTTTTGATGCGCGTAGCTCATTTTTTTGGATATTTTAACCTCAATTCTTACACATGGCACCTTTAAAGTGACAGCACAAGGTTCATGGTCAAAAAGAACACAAATTGACATGAAAATGCACTAATGTCACCATAAATGCATTTAATTAAATTGTACTATATTTTTCACAGTAATTTTCCCCCTTTACTTTAAGCCCGGGTTTAAGCAACCAACAACACAACATAATGGATGGCGCTCGTTTCTTCCTGGAGGTGGAACACAAGTTCTTTCTGAATATTTCTTTTGTAAAGATTTAAATACAAAAGAAAAGGTACGAGAGATGGCTGTTTTTGTCAGTTCTATGTTTTAATTTTAAATGTTTGCGATATTAAGGAAGCGTATTGCATTCACCCGAGGAAACAAAAACTACTCTGTTTTTTTTAATTAACGAGTCAATTATCTCAGAATTATGAGATAATTTTTCATGGAATAAAAGTTTTTGCTCTGTTTTCTGAATTAACGAGTTAATTATCTCAGAATTACGAGAATTTTTCATGGAAAAAAGTTTTTGCTCTGTTTTTCTGAATTAACGAGTTAATTATCTCAGAATTATGAGAATTTTTCATGAAAAAAAGTTTTTGCTCTGTTTTCTGAATTAATAGAAGTCATCATTCACAAGTGTCACTCTCTAATCTCTTTAGCACCTCCATATCCATCCAACAAAGAAATCCTTCATTTGATGGATGCCTTTAAAGGGATAGTTTACTTTGAAATTAATTTTTGGCAGGTTTTATCTTACCTCAAGGTCATCCAAGATGTAGTGTCTTTGTTTCCGCAGTTTTGATATTTTTAGGTCAAACCGTTCTTGTCTGTCAGTCATATAATGGAGGTCTATGGTCACCACCTTAAAGAGCGTACACAGAGAAGTCTAAATTAAACATGATTTAATGACTCGTAAATGTAAGTACACATTGATGGCCTAAGACACAAAACGAGCGGTTTGTGTGAGAAAACGAACAGTATTTATATCGTTTTTAGTATTTAAAGCGCCCGCGCCCTCAGATCACTTGGACGTGGCTGTGATTACAAGAGGTAAAAACGATATAAATACTGTTCGTTTTTTCACACAAACCACTCGTTTCGTGTCTTAGGCCATCAATGTGTACTTACATTTACGAGTCATTAAATCATGTTTAATTTAGACTTCTCTGTGTACGCTCTTTAAGGTGGTGACCATAGACCTCCATTACATGACTGATAGAGATGAACGGTTTGACCTAAAAATGATCAAAATTGAAAATATTGCGGAAAACAAAGACACCTACATCTTGGATGCCCTTGAGGTAAGATAAAACATACCAAAAATTAATTCCAATCCCTTTAAAGGTCTTGTTCATGCAGTGTGTGTCTAATGCTTTCTCTGGCCTGTGTTGCAGGAGGGCATTTTCCGCAGCGTGTCAAGATGGCGCACCGTGTCGTGCATCGCTGCGGTGGCGTTCATTGTCGCTGCTGTTTACTGGAAAAGAACTCGCTAAGATAAAAATGAAGGTCTCGTGCCAGCTTCTTAATTCTCACAAATGTGGAAACTCGTATCAAAAGCAATACAATGTCTAACTGGTGCAATCAAGTGGACCAATCATGCTTCATGTTGCCTTGCTATGGTTAAAAACTTAAACGGCAACAGCCACTTCGACAGACACTGTAGCCTTTTATTGTGATTATGTTTTTTTATTCTAAGTCTATTTTTTTTCTATTTCAATTGAGTCAAGGAACATCTTTGGTCTTGATTTATTTATTTTTAAAGGGATGTGTTTGCTCTACTTAAAGGTTTTTAAGACACTGCACTTTTTCTCCACCAGTGCCTTTTTACTTTTCTGGCTCAGGTATCCAATTTTTTAATGTGCCACAAAACATACCAGCCCTACCTCAGATCAGCTACACAACTGTTTACCAAATCATTGCTTTTCTAAGTATATCATTAGGAGTACAGGGCTGAAAAAAGGCGTAGTAAAATGCTTCTAAACCTTTTTATGTGATCTAAATGATTTAAAGGTTGAGCGTTTTATTGTTAAATACAGTTAAAGTGGACACACCTAGCACACCTTGAAATAAATATGATGATGAATTACTGAGATATGTCTATGTATATTTATTTCCTATAAATTGATATATATATATATATATATATATTCCTTACTGGAAATGCACGTTGTATTGTTTCTCTATACCAAACCATTTGTTTGTTTTTTAAAATTTACCATGGGAATGCTGTGGTATTCTTTGAAATGTATTCAGTACTATGTTATCAAACATGTTTAAATGAGACCATCATTTAACCCTAAAACCGTATTCTGGACAAATGTGGGCAAAATAGTTTTGATTTATTTTTAAAAAATACTTCCCTTGATCTGAGCGGTACAAGACTTGGCTACTTACTACTCACACAATTTTTTTTGACTCAATTCTACAATGTTAAGTGGGTGAAAAAAAAAAAAAAACTCCTTAATCTTGTATTTGGGTCAAAAATGGGCACCCATAGAAATGAATGGGAAAAACTGTAATTTAGAGCATTCTAAAATAAGCCAAAATAAGACAGCAAAGTCACTTCATCTTTAGGTTTTAGCTCTAAGAACTTATTGGAATATTTTAATGTAGTTAAAAAAATGTAAAAAATAAAAATAAGCATAATTTACATAGAAAATATGGTACTTTTTGAAGTAAATAAATTTAAAAATACCCCCAAAATAAAAATAAAAAAACACCATAAATGGATAGACAAAACTTTATCGAAGAGAGTGATATAACATTTATAATAAATAAAAAATAGGATCACACCTGAGTCCTCTGTGCCCACATTTGTCCACAATTACAGGATTAAGGGCTATAAAGTGAATATAATTTGAGGGTTAAAATGACAAAGTGACAGCAACAAAAATTTACATGAAAACAAACAATAAAAAAAAAACACTAAAAGTAGTGTCACAGTACTCTTATATGACCACTATGTCTCAAATCACACAGTCTTGAGTAGGTGTTTTTTTTTTTAAATAAGTAATTACTTCGAGCACTAAAAAAAAATGTTCTGTATAGTATGAATGTAATCTGGGTTCAGCATATATGTGACCTACCATCGCCAGTTTTACTAACTAGAAAACATTCTTCAGCTTCACTACCATTCACAAAACCTCTCCTGTGGCCTCATGGGATAGTAAAGTGTCCATCATATGCACACTTCACACTTCATCTGGGTACTTTACTCTTTTATGAGTGCTGTGAATTCAGACTTTTGCTACATAATGTTTTTCGTCTACTATATAGTAGGGAAGTATGTGATTTTGAATGCAGCCAATGTTCTCAGCAGCACAGCTCAACAACAAATGAATCGCATTTTTGAGGACCTAAATATGCACAAAGAGTCACGAAAATTTGCACATGCGTCAGAACTGGCGAAAATTTACATCTGATATGCGTTTCAGAATTGGGCGGGGCAAAATGGCTCGATAGCGCCTCCTATAGGGGAGAGCAGGACACAACGTAACACTTTTTGACCTTGTTAATTTGTGTAAATCTACTACTCAAATTAACTCGGGTTTAGCGAATATTTTTTTCCCCACATAAATTTACCACATGTCTAGTACAATTATGTGGTTTTGTTTTATTAACACAGTGTATACTTTTTTCTTGATTTACCCTGAAAGAATGGGAGTGAAACGTGACAACATGCCCCATAGGTGGGGTACATTGTAACATCTGATCTAATAAAAAAATATACAAGTCAAACCAAAATATTTTCTTAAGAAAATACAATTATTACCTTTTTCATATAAAATACTGGCATTTTATAATAATTAAAAATATACTAATTTCTGAGTTTGACAACAAACCCACCGGAAACATCAGGCTCAAACTGTGAAAACATGGTTATGAGGAATGAAGAATCATTTTCACACATGAGTCCAGAGCTTAAACTCACTGAAAGTCTATGAGATGTGCTGGACGAGACTTTACAGAGTGATGGACTCTTGCATTGACAATACAAGATCTTCAACTGAATAACATCAGAATATTTATTTTAAAGTCTGGTCCATTTTTAAGCTTATTCTGGCCAAGAACCAACACTTGAAAGGAGGGGATTGTTCAAGAGATTGTCAAACAACATGTAATTATTTGGGTTTTTACATGCCATTTCGGGGCAAATGCATCTGAAAAAAAGTTGATGATAGACATTTATGGAAAAATAATCATCCAAATAATGCAGCAGTCCATAATCTGCTGTACAGGAAACACGGAGAAAACTAGTGGAAATATTGGTGTACTTTCTGCCTTCCCAAAAGTAACAAGTAACATTTTTTTCAGACAAAAAAAAGTGGAATAATCAGATAGATTGTTTGCTACTATAAACAAAATTACGTAAGTATATTTCAAATAAATGAAAATTCTCATATAATTTACCCTCATGAACACATGAACACAGATGAACACATTTAAAGTATAACCACAGATTTTCAAATCGCTTTGTATTGTTACAATGTCAACAATAAATGAGCAATGTCGCAATTAGCTCCTGAGAAACGCGATATCTGCGGATAACCATTGTTGGGTAAGTTACTCTAAAAAAGTAATTAATTACTAGTTACTAGGGCTGGGTATTGACACAAATTTCACAATTTGATTCGATTTCGATTGACAAGCTTGCAATTCGATTTCGATTCGATTCAATATTGATTATTTTGGATATCAGTTACAATAAATGGCAAATTTTCTGGCAAATTTCAAATTAACTGACGTCTTTCCACGGTTGAAACGCTGATTGAGCGAATCAATGTGACATGATACGGATTTCGATAAGTTGTACTCTATCTTTTAACACACTTTCAGATGCTCATTCATGTTTATTTCGCGCTGTAACTGGTATTATTAAGCCGGAAGAGAGATCAGCGCTGCTGCTTCTCCAGAGCGATCTCACGCCACAGCACCAAAACGCTATTTATGTTTTTTGAATTTCTAAAGAAAATGGATGTAATTTGAAATTTGAGACTTTGTTTCATAGCAATAGTATAACAAAGGACAAAGATTATTGCGATTTTTTTGGATGCGCGCAGCCACGATACAATGATCCATTCATTCAAATGAAACAGGATGACTAATCGATTCTTGAGATTTAAGAATCGATATCGGTTCGTAAAAATGAGAATCGATTAATATCGAGAAATCGATATTTATTACCCAGCCCTACTAGTTACTAATTACCTCTTCAACAGTGTAATTAGATTACTACTAATTACTCTCTCTAAAAAGTATTTAATTACTTTTAATTACTAATTACTTTAAAAATCCCATATCAATCTCAACCAGCTGAATAATACAAGGATAGACATGAACCTGTTTTTTAAATTCTTTCAAATAAATACTATAAAATTGCATGAATTATCCTTAAACTGACCAAGGTGGAGAAGGTTACATTATAAAAACATACTTTTTAGCATCAGACAATACATTTTGATGTTAAACCCACTATTGTTTTATGTCTGATCTCATGACATTTCACACTTTTTTCATACATATTTTACAATAATTAATGCGAATTTGTACGAGTGTGGTCGTACAATTTAGACACCTCATAAAATCATACGAATCGCTGTGAGATCGGATTGATCTATACACAGTATTTACCTCAATTACGTCAGAAGTAACTGTAATTAAATTACAGATAAATTAAGAGTAATCCCTTACTTTACATTTTCAAGGGAAAAGTAAATAAATTACAGTAACTAATTACTTAGTTCATAATTGTGTTACACCCAACACTGCTGATAACACTGAAGGAGCTTATATAAGGATGCTGTTAAAGACGACATATTAGTCGCTGATGCGAGCTTGACTAACGTGACCTGCCGACGCTTAATCACTATGGCAACAGTCCGTAAGTTTCCCTTCGTGGACATCCGGTTTTAAATGTTAAATACACAGAGGTTTTGCAGATTTCCCCCTCCATATTTACGATTCTCTCCCTCTTTTAGCCGCTGCCTTCATTGAAAAACCAGAAGTAATCACTCCCGCTAAACGTTCAATTACATCGGTACCAAGACGATACTGAAATTGTAAAATTGTGTAAAAAATTTTACAATTGCGTTTTTTCTACTTTTTAAAATATAAACCATCGCTTCTGACTGTTATCGGTTACGTCCATTTGCATGACGTAAACGTGAGCACGTTGTGAAAAAGCGAGTTTTACAATGCGCTGATGTTTAAGTCAAGTGTGAACTCATGAACCCACATGAAATAATACACATAAATAATAAAAAAATTAGGGATGCACGATATGTCGGCCACATTATTGGTATCGGATGATGTATGATCATTTTTAATGTTATCGTTATCGGCCCAACAAGAACATTAAGCCGATATCTAAAATCCGATAAATAATCTATTATTTCCTTGAGCTGAGGCACTTTAGATGCGCACTATTCAACATGATGCTTTTAAATTGCTTGAAATACGATTGAAATCACTTTAAAAAAGGAAAATCCAGTCGTATCGGCTACACAACATTAAAATAAGAACCTCATAATTGTGTTTGTATCTTGGCTTTTAATGAGGAGAGTTTTTTTATAGTCGGTCTCTCAAAAATTGTCTAAAAATATGGATTTAGATTTATCGGCCAATATATCGGTTATCGGCTTTCAAATATAAAGAATTTTCGGTTATCGGTATCGGCCAAAATTGTCATATCGGTGCAACCCTATACAAAAATGTTGTTTTTTTCTTACACGCACTTATCGTTTCACTTCAAGACATTGATTCATCAACTGGGGTTGTATGGATTACCATCACGTTCACTTTGTGTGGTTTTTGAAGCGTCAAATAGCATTATACAGGACTCTCAGAGATAAAATATTTTTATATATTTAACTTAATTTGTGTTCATTTAGGGGGGAAAGTCATATACATTGGGACGTCATGAGATATTTCATTATTTAAACTTACAGATGTTAGAAGAGCGTTTCATCAAGCTTGCCATTATTGTGTGCCATCTATGTCTGAGACTATGTTAAGATCACATGATTACTCTAAACTTTGGCTGCAGGGTAAATAAATCATGAGTGACATAATAATCAAGTTCTTTCTACAA